ACAGTTATGTTTCACACGTAAGGGAGACATGGACACATGTTCTGAAATGCTTTTGTGCTGCCATCAAACATTGCAGCCAATTATACGAGCAACAATTTGGTTTCATACCTGAAAAGGTCACTCAGGCATCAAGAGCAATAAAGTACACTCAACTACCTCATGAAAGCTATAACCCTTTTCCATCCCAAACAATCATTTTCTCATTGTAAGGGGAAAGACAGTCCCAGGAGACAGCCTGTGCTAAAAAGAACGCTACAGGAAAATTTGCAGTCAGATTAAAAACTACTTACAGAAGTAAAAAAATACTCCTATATGAAGAAAAGCACCGTTGGTCAATATATAAACAAGTCTGGACTAATGGCTAATATTTCACCATAGCTTTGGAAATCAAGCATTGGCAAGAAACTAAAGGAAAACTCCACAGACACTAAATGCCCAAAACTACAGACTCTTACAGATGCTTAGGGAAAAAAAAAAAATTATAAGTTTGTTTATTAATGCTACTTCGCTACAGACTCTCACACACGCTTAGGAAAAGAAAAATAATTATAAGTTTGTTTATTAATGCTACTTCGTTTTACTACTACATCATTTATCCTTGCTAAATGCAGCCTTATTATGACATATGGATTTCTCATGTGAAATTCCAACACAGACTTGATTCAAAGCAGAATACACTCTGCCCTTGAAGTTCTGCTCATATGCAGCTCTTCAAGTCAAACCATGTAAAACCTTCAGCCTTTTGATGACTTGCACCTGTCTTACAATATTTTTGAAGAATCCCTGGCTACTCAGAAATTGCTTTTTTCCCCCCACCTCACAATCTCTTGTGTAACGTAGTTTCACTTCAAGTTTGCCAAAAGCACATTAACAGCAAGGATGGCATAAAGAAATCTAATCCAATCAATGAGCAGACAACTGTTTAATACAGCCATATAAAGTGTACTCATCCGAATCAGTCAGATCATGTTTTCCCCAAACTAGTAAACAGCTGCAGACACAGTCTGCTTCCCATCCAATGTTCCGTGTATAACAAACTATACCTTGTATTTCTGATGGTTCACTAGTAATTTTTCAAAACCATGACTTTCAGAGCATATGACAACTATATTTTATTGAAGAAAGGAATAGGCTTAGAATGACCAAGCCACAAATTGAAGCCCAATCCAGAAACTCTATTATAGATGCCAAAAGTCTGCTGAATGTCAGTATTTGCTGGCATTTTTATTATTATGAATACAAGTGCAGACCAACTTCTTCAAAGAAGAAACACACTTCAAGAGTGACGGAAAAGAAAAGCTCACAACTCCTATTATAACAGCACAGAAGCAGAGAAAACAACTCCTTTAACAGTGTCTGGAAAAGGTATCCCAAAGGAGTAGTTGTAAATGTGTTTAGAAGATAGAGAACCTTAAAAATAAATTCACATCTAACACTCTGGTCTGTGGTATCAACAGCACTAAAATAACTCACAACTTTGAAAATCTAGTAAAATTTTTGATTGCCACAAACATGAAAACTACCCTTAGTAAGGCTGTTAAAGTACAAAACTTTTACCCACCTTCAATTTTTGTGACATATTTTCAATTCATTCACAAGGAAAAAAATCCTTGCATGTGCAAGAAGGCACAGAGGAAGCCAGCCAGACCGAGAAGCATTTTCAAATCTCTGAACAGCAGTAAAGTATTATGAGCTTAAATCAGGTATTTACTATTTTTGCTTGACTATGTACATAAATTCCTCGCCCTTTAAAAATTTAACAGACTCCTGAACATACTTCAGAGAGCTGATTTTGCACTAATGTGACTCTTATAAAATAAAATTAAGTGCATACTTTCACTCAGAGTAACAAACAGGAAAATAAATCAGGAATAAACCAACAGGAAACAATGCCCCAGAACACAATCTCTCACATAGACAACAATGGAGATTGGCCTGGTAAAAAAATGGGACATCAATGCCCCAAATTCTTATCCTGCCCCACCCTATCCTAGAACTCTTATCCATGGTAGCAGCCTGAGTTCCCTGTGGCACACAATTCCAAAAGAGCTCACCTGCTGTTATTGTGATGCCCTGTGGAAGCCCAGTAAAGAAAACTGGAATTAATGTCTCTTTCAGAAGCACTAATTGTAGTTTTGATGTCTACATGGCTATCCTATGAAAAAAGCACAGAAAACACTAAAGAGCTGTATTAAATTCCTTTTCTGCATCTGGTTACTTACAGTAAGAATTGCCAAGAGCTGACTCATTTAATCAATTTGAGTTCTTGAAATCTACCCTATAGACTTGTTCAGTAATGAATGAATTCTTGAATATATCACAAATCCAAGTTCAAAAAAATTTTTGGTGGTATGCTCAGTAAAATGACTTACTGCACTGTGACAGAGCAGATAAAGTAAATAGTTAGAGCTCTAATTTCCAGTATTCAGCCCCCATGTGCAACTGATTCATTAGAATTGGAAAACTTAGTGAACCTCTGAGGTTAAATGAACAAAGAACCGAGATGCGTTTCTTTTTCTTAATATCATTCATACATTAAGGAATGTATGCTATGCTTGATGCATGACTTCAGGAAAGATTAACTGCAAATAACTACCAAACAGCTGTACAGCCTGTTTTTCAGTATGTATGGAAAGATAGACAGTCCATAATGCAATGTCTTGAATTTCAGCACTACCATAATAGAAGATTTCCTGCTGATTTTACATCAGCTTGTGGTACAGGTGCAAAGGACTTAAGTTACTGGCAAGCATAAGGAAAATTAATCTAGAAACCAGAACAGCAGCTTTCATAAACAGTTTATAAAATTAATTGCAATAGCACACACATCAAGTCCGGATGTGTAACCAGGTATGCTATCGATGACCAGTACAATCAGAATACATGGAAAAAGCCAAATACTTCCCTCCAAAGGTAACTGATATAGACAGATCATGTAACCAATAACCCCAGTTATTGGTCCATCCAAGTTATTGCTGGAAATTTATGGGCCTCCCATAAGAACCAAAAATGTCTGTTTTCATTAAAAAAATAGAAGTAGAGGGAAAAGGTCAGTCTTTCAAGAAAAAGCATCTGAAGTAAACATAATTTAGCTTTAGCTACTATTGCAAAAGCTGTAATTTACAGTAGATTAATCACTAATGTCTCTTAAATCTATGAACATACATACAGGCTATATTTTAGTCCTATACCCTGGGTGTTACAACTTCCTGAAGAAATCCCAATCTGCTCATCAAAAGAATGATCAGATAGTAGAATAACTTATTTCAGTAAAAACTCTCTCAAGCAAAAAGGAAAATACAAAGCCAGGCTTTATCCATCTACTCTCAACAGAGCCACAGCCCAAATAGCTGAGGTAACTGTCACAAACTAAGTAATTTCTCTAGGTATGTTAACAAAACAAAGTTGCATACCTTCACACATTACCTAAAAAACCTCAAAAAATCTCAAAAGTCTTTCTGAATACTGCAAAACACATACTGGTATAGAGGGGCATAACGGATGTGCGCACAGACCACAATTGTTACTTGAGAAAGTTTTGTTTATAGAATTATGATAAAGAAATATAATTCCCCCCACCCCCCCCCTTGAGAAACGGACATCTTGCCTGTTGCAATTCTAAGGCTGCAGGATGAAATTGCAACAGAAATTGTCACCATCTACAGAAGTATACTGTATCAAGCAATTCAAAGCAAATTAAAATAGCTACATGCATACTTTTTCAAAAAACAGGCAAGAGGCAGCAGGCAGTCTGGGCTGCTTTTCATGTGACACCAAGATACACATGTTCAAAGAACAGTGTGAGAACTGAATAAAGAAGGAAAGAAAAGTGCTTCTGATGCTTTAACTGTTTCTGGAACTTTGTACAATTAGAACTTCATGTGAAAGTGTGTGAAGGCCTGTAATATGTATATACATAAAAGCCCTTTTACACCTAAATACCAATCTGTCTTAAGAAAAAAAAAAAAAAGCCATATTTCCCCAACATTCCTCAAGCTATGAGCCCTCTGCAACACAGACTCATACAACAACACTCATACCAGCTTAAGTTCACAAAAAGCCAGCAGACAGACACGGGGCATCTTGCATTTAGATTTATCTCTGCCAGACAACATAGTCAGCATCCTGTTTAGGGGTTGCAAGACTTGAAAGCCTACAGATCAAGTATTACTCCCTTTATACAAATCCAACCTGGGATGAGCCACAAGAAGTGTGGATAGTACTTTACCAAACACAGCCCACCTGAGATGCCTAACGTTAACTGCAGTTAACCAGGAAGATGCACAAAAATTGATCAATTATTTTACTGAGTAATCATTACCTCTATGCTTGCATGAATATCAAGAGATGAAATCTAATGCTTGCTATAAACCTTTCAGAAACTACAATGAAGAGAGTTTGTATTTCTCTAAATAAGTTTTATATTTATGCATTTGTGCGTTCTGGAAATAACCAGTTATCCTACAATGCCTTGCTATCCCAAATGGAAATAATATTCTTCCACTCTGTATTACATATTCTTTAGGACCAGAGACCACTTCTTTGCTCCAAAGGTACTAGTGATAGACTTAAAAATTACAGTTAACACTTTAAAACACTTTACAAAACAGGTCTGGTGGTGATTTTGTTTGTTTGTTTCTTTCTTTAAAGATACAGCTCAACTATTCTATACATCCTAGTATGAAAGCAAATATTCTTGACATCCAGCCATTGCTAAGTGACTATACTAACCCCAATTCTAATCACTTACCAGCACCCTGCATATGTATCCAACATCCTGCCCACTTTCTACTTAATAAATGAATACATTTCTGCATATGAAAACCATATCAAATTCTGTCCTTTCTAGTGAAATTTGTATGTCATTATCTGGCAGACATATAATCTTCAAATTAATTATTAGGAAGACACTTGTCCTGTCTGAATTTTATTCTTAAAAAAAGAAAACCCAAAACTGCTATGACAAGACAGACAGGATTTTCTGAGTTACAATGAGTTACCTGACTGGCTTTCTTTCTCGTAGCAAATCTTCCAGACTCTTTTCACAGTGTTCAGCTGCCACAACCAGTCTCTCTAATTGGAGAGAAAAAAAAAAAAAGTATAAGAGGACTAAAGTCCAAAGAAGACAGTGGGAGTACAGACTTCTCAGTCTACCTGTTTGGCAGATGTTAAAGTATTTTGACATACATTGTCTGGAAAATTACAAATAATTAAAGATGTACAACTCCTGGATATCACCACCGTTTTCATCCAAAGAAGACAGTGGGAGTACAGACTTCTCAGTCTACCTGTTTGGCAGATGTTAAAGTATTTTGACATACATTGTCTGGAAAATTACAAATAATTAAAGATGTACAACTCCTGGATATCACCACCGACAGCATTTATGAGACAAAGCAGATTATCTTTCCTATTTCCTCATGCAAAGCACTGTCAATCCACCCAGTAACCTCCTAATAAACGTTGAGCCTGTCAGCCAACGTCAGCCAGATTTGCTTTAAGAACAGAGGTCTCAAAAAAGATATAAGCATCTACAAATTTGCAGAAATCTGTGGCTGGGTTGATGAGAGACTCAAATTAACACCAGCTTTGAGAAAAGGGTCTCGGTAAGCACAGGAGTTTCAGTCCCTATGGGCCACTGAGCACATTACTGTATCTAGTACCTCTAGTACCTCTTGCCCAGCAAACAGGATGTCCAGGGGTGCCACATTCCAAAAATTTATGGGCTGGGTCCAAATACTGAGGAAAAGGCAAAATAATTCCAGGATGTCCAGGGGTGCCACATTCCAAAGATTTATGAGCTGGCTCCAAATACTGAGGAAAAGGCAAAATAATTGTTGCACTGAAGCCATCAATTATAAAGTAGGCAAAGATGGTAGTGTAAGATATTACAAGGGGGTGTGAGATAACTCCTAAAGAAGGCCGGCTTTGATACTTCTGCTACTTGTAGAACAGCTTGTAGTGAATGTTAACATTCAAAACTAAATCAAACTAAACTATTTGAAACATATTTTTATAAGAAGGCTGTTACAGTAAGATGAAGATAGAAAATACTTTGAGGAATGCAAGTCATCACATTAAAGCTGGAATGCTTGTTACTCAACTCTCTGTTTCTCCTTTTTGAAATCAAAGGACCACATAAACTTTCTTTGGAAGCCTTCTACAATGCTAGCAAAGATTTACAAGTAGTTTAATTTTACCAAAAAAACCAAACCTATTTCAGTTTGAATGTTTCTCTATTACTTCTATGTTTCCCTTTTGAGGGTCTTTTGGGGGGGAATACATACATCTAATTAATTTATTTTGCATTGTTTCCCTATTCTGCTTTTGTATTTCTCTCTACGGGTAGAAACTGACATTTGCAAGAAAGAATATAAAATCACTATGCATAGGATTGAGAACTGAAAAATTCTGTCAGTACCAGAATGTTAAAAATTGCCACCAAATTTGCCACATTATTTGAAAGTGATTAACTGCTATTCCAACCACTAGGAACAAAGCAATCTCCTGACTTTGTGGTTAGGCATTACATTTGCTATTCTTCAAGTTACTTCAATTATCAGAAGATACTTTCTCCTTGATATTTATACACACTCATAAACCTTCATGTCATTGTCTCTTCATTGTCAAAAAGGCTACATTTTCCTTTGTAACTGTATGCTTTCATTTACTAAATGTTTTGGTAGCGAATGTTTCTTAACCTTGCATCCCAAACAGTAAGAAAATCCTAGTTTCCATTTCAAGTGAAAACAAGATGAAAATGAATAAACTTTCTAGATGTCCTGCCTGCAAAAAATGAAAAATTCAGAAGTTTGAGAGCAAAGGAAAACACACAAAGAACCTCCCCAACTCTGCAGGACACTTAAGAGTTTGGAGCTGGCAATATCCTCATTTTCTAAAAATCTGAAACATCCTATCATACTGCATTCTGAAGGGGAAAAAATTACTTGCTTTACTTTATGAGACCCTGTAGCTAACAAAACAAATACATACAATGCACTTTTATATGTGAACATTATTGATTTAAAAGTTAAAAGTGACAACTACTTAAATTGTTAAAGGCATTGCAGACTTTTTGTGGAAATTAAGTGCTATAGTCCTGCTGAGCTTGCAACAGAGTAAGATCATCTGCAGCAGAAAACACAACTAAAGCCTTATTTAAGCAAACAGTAAGTATGACATCAGTTACTTTAAAAAATCAATAAATATCTGTACTAGAATAAAGTAATTGTTAGTGGGAGTGATCTTAAAGAGCTAGAATAAAAAAAAAAAAATAATAAGGCAAGCTTGCAGCCAAAATGTGAGATGACTGAGACAACAAGAAAAGCTGCAAATCAAGTAAGGCAAGCTTGCAGCCAAGATGTGAGATGACTGAGACAACAAGAAAAGCTGCAAATCAAGTGCAAGAAACCCAACCATCACTAGATTAGAACATGGGTGTAGGAGCTCAGCATCAAAAATACATGTATTTCAACATCCCACACAACAACATGGCACAGCAATTGAATAAATGAATTTTCCAGTGAGGTATGAAAAGAAGAAAGTTCTTAGCTTCTATCAGTTAGTGTAACATACAACAAAAGAGGACAGATGACTTACCTCTGCCTTGACTGTAGAGGAGAAACAAAAGCACAAGTACTTGCAGTCGCAGCAAAGGTATACAGTTATTTTGAGACTGAAAACCAGCCACTTTCTGGTGCTATAAAGCTAATATTCTGCTCAGTCATCTTTAGATATGTTGTCACAAAAATATAACTGTAACCATATGTAACATTTCCTTATTAAAACAGATACTCACCATGTTTACCTCTGGTAATGTCAACGTACTGGCAAAGCCTGGGATGGGTCATTGTTTTAAGGATTTGAAATCTTCCCAAAATTTTGATGGAATTAGGTGTAAGTGGAAGGCCATTACTTCCACAAACATCATGCGGCAGAGCTGAAGCGAAGAAAGTGGAGGCCCCCATCTCAGTGTCTTTTAAAGGAAACATCTTTTTCACACAATCTTAAGCCCTTTCAGAGCAATTCACGTTCCTTAAAAAGAGAACACAGAGTTCCTATGACCCAGCTTACTAAATAATGCAATTAAATTGTTGGGTTTTTTTCTTTTTCTTTGTTATGGGGGAATGGGACATTTTTGCATAACGAACACACAAGAATAAACATTCTGCTGCATCATAAACACTACATTTAAAGATGAAAATATAGTGATAGTTTTAAACACAACTTTAAGAATCAAATAAAACTAATTTAGCAGCAGATAAATGCTTTAATCCATGCAATCTTCAGATAACTACTGCAATATAGTAGGTTATTTATTCAAAATCAGTAAAGGCATCACACAGAAAAAAAAAACTTCTTCCAAAATACCACCTTGTATCAGCAGGCTACAACTCCAGATTACCACAGCTTTAGCAACAGTCAGCATCTATTAGCATTCCTAATATTTAAAGCTATGAAGTAACAGTCTTATGTACTACCACCATTTCTTTCCCCACCCATTGGTAAGCTGCTAGCCCACACGCTGATTCAATAACAAATTAAGGAAATAATCTCCATTAAATATTTCTGTACGATAGGAAAGCAAAAGAAATGAGCTTGCAATTCAATTCCAGAAGCATTTAGTTTAATGACCATTTTTCTTTCTACTCTGGACTATGCATTTCAAATCAGTGCAAGCTAAACATTTTCTCTGCAGTTTTCCATAACCACCCACTACATCATTCAAGCATGTGAAAACCTAAAACATATACAAGAAACAGACACTCCTACAGTCAGCTGGGCCTCAGGTAAAACTGCCGGATGTCTTTTTACTAGCAAACTACGAATTTAATCTGAGGCACCAAACACCAAAATCCAAAAACCAAATCAAGCCTCTGCCCAGCTCCTTTCTGGATTACCCAGATGGTGACTTGAGACACTACAAGCCGTCATTAGAGAGCTTTATCCCTCTGTACATGTTAACTTCCATAGCATACCCAACTTGTCTAGAAGGATACATACACAGGCAGAGATAAAAAGGCCAACCTCACACACTCTAAAATGAGTTATGGTCTGGAAGTTGTGACGGTGAAGTAGATGGCACTTCCACATAACATGAGATGTGAGGCTGTAGAACAGAAAAAACTTCATTAAGGAGCCCATGTAGAAGAGTACCACCCAGCCTACTTCAACTCCAGAGACATTACGGCACAGAGTCTGGAAGCATCTGTGTCCACAATTAACAGAAATAGTCCACTGATGTATTAAGCACATCCGACTCTTTTGTCAGCTACAGGATAGTAATTATAAGCACAGAGTAGGAACAGATATACAGTTGCTCCAGGAAAACAGGAGGAAGAACCCTCAGGATTTGAAGCCCATAAGATAATTAACATGAAAAGCTTAAAACCCAGCATAATTCTTTCACATGAAATGTGATAATTTATCATTTCAGGGGCTTCAGGAAAGAAAAACCAAGTAGAACAGGATTATGCAGAGCACTAATGAAGGTAAATGCTACTTTATATTATTCTTTCAGCCAATATCGATCTGCTGCTTTCAGGAAAAGCTATTATCTCATGAGAAAATCACAAAGGAGAAACAGAGTATTTAAAGTCTCGAAAAGAATCAAAACATCTAAATTTGACTCTCAGAAGCAAGTATTGCAAGTACAAACAGACCAAACTGAATAAATCTATCCCGTGAAACACATCTATGGTTTCTAAAGCATCCACATGCAGAAATAAAGACAACTAGCCACGTGGGCCAGTAGCTGTTTGTAATTTGAAATGGCTAGCTATTTAAATGCATCCTGAGTATCCAGGTGTAAATTCCCCTTGCCAAATGAAGGCAGCTTTTCAGAATTAAAACATAATTACAATCAGCACTGCTGTTGAATTATTTTTAAAGCAATTGTGAACAATTTCAGGAGAGCAGTTGGCCTGAACATCCTACACTTACACTGCTCTTTGTAAAATCATAGTATTTTCAAAGTAGGCCATTTCATAAGAGACAATTCTTTCACAAAACATTTTTTCTTCTGCTCTTAAGTCTTAAAGCATTCCTGTTGCAACTATAGTAATTACTAATCTGATAAAGCAATTGAAGCAAAAGATGCAATTTTAGCTAGTGTTGCTACTTCACAAAAAACCAAAACCATGTGATTTGCCTCCCAGTGTCCACCATCACTCAGCTGTTCCCAAACTTTATTAAAATGTATAACATTAAAGAAAAGTTGAATTCAGATTCCTATGGAAGGTAGCACAGAAAATAAGTAAGAGTTTGTTAGGACAATCACAATAATGAGCTGGGATGCATTCACTTCATAATAATAATTAGCCTAATTTTAGCAGAAGGTAGGGGGGCTGTATTAAGTTCAATTCACCTCACAATTCTTTTTTCACCCATTTGCAGTATAAACATCTACTACAAACACCACCTTTACTACAGAGATTTCATAAGACTGCTTAAAAATCTAAACATAAGCAGTACTGTGTTTAACAAAACATTTTCCCCTGTAGAGTAACAACAAATGTCTTCTTTTACAAAATTTTCTAACTTCTCTAACATTCATTGAAGTAAGAAGTATTCTACCTATAAATAAAGAATAACAGATTTTGACAATGCTCCAATGTCATTATTTTGTCTTCAATTAATACACAAATTTTGGGGGAAGGGAAGACAGGTAACCTGGTGTTTTTGGGATAGGTAACTAACAAATATTTGAAGAGTTATTTAATTAAAATGCTAAATAGTAACACCTTTCCCTACTCTTGTACAGATATTAAATCATCATTTCACTCAAGTGATATATAAGCCATCAGCAAAGATTAAAAAATGCTCGCTCTCAGTAGTACCTGGAGAATTTTGTCATCCATACACAAAAGTCTCTATATCCTATGTAGGTATTTCCATAAGATGAGTTACTGGTGTTGTTTGGAGCATTTACAAAGTTACTACACAGATTACAATGTTGCTACTTTGACAGTTGCAGTAAAATTTAGTGATACTTATAGACATCTTAAGTTTCGTATCTGCAGCTATAACATTTAGCTAGTGGGAAGAACAACAACATGTGGATAGCATGATGAAAACATGTAACTTAATTTTGATTAGATCAGGATAGACTTTTAGTCTTGTTTATTTTATAAACATGTTATTTCTTTTACCTGTTTATCAGTGCCTTTTGGTTACAGCCTATCTGCCTGGTCTGCTACGTCGGTGTCCCTACGCACATAAAAAGACAGGGTTTGGTTACCATTTGACTTATGCATTATACACGGCTGTGCAGGAATTGAATCTAGGAAGAGAGAAACCAGTTTCCACCGGTTTGCTAAACGACTGGTAGAAATGTTGGAAACCCCGGGCACCCCTGGCAACCTCTCAGGCCCTGTAAGTGCACTCACCAGGAACACACACACACACCCACACCCACATCCCTCCACACACACCCACACATCCCTCCACACACACCCACACACACATCCCTCC